GAGTGTGCGCATGCACGGCGGGCGCGGGAGGGGGCCTGGGCTCGCCTTGCGGCAGGGGGAGATCGCGCTCGCTCCTCCGGCCGCCGCCGCGCCGCTCACCGCTTGCTGCATCACCGCGCGGTCGCCGATGCCGTCTGGCGGCGGAGGCGGAGGAGGCGGAGGAGGGGGCGGGGGAGGAGGAGGGGGAGGAGGAGGAGGCGGGGGTGGGGGCGGGGGCGGAGGCAATGCCGCGGGCGTCGCCTCGTCCCCCTTCAACCCTCTGGTTGCGTTCCGCTCGGCGCGCGTGCACGAGCTGGAGAGCGCCGTGATTCCAGCTCCGACCCCAGACTTCTGCCTCTCTAGGCGCGCGCTGCTCGAGCCGGAGCGCGGGGCGTGTTTCTTTTTCACACACCTCAGACTGCCGTGTCCGCACAGGCGCGCGTGCTCGAGCTCGAGGGATTAATTAACGATTAATTAACGATTAATTAACTATTAATTAGGCGCGCGTGCTCGACCTCGAGGGAGGGCCGGCGGTGCCGGACCACACCGCCGGCTCACCGGCCGGCGACGACCAAGACGAGCCCGCGGCGGCGGCGCGTCCCACCCCAGCCACTCGGCCGCAGCTCTCGCGCGCCATCGGAGGCGGCGGAGGCGGGGGCGGCGGCGGCGGCGGCGGCGGCGGCGGCGGCGCGCCTCCCGGGTCGGCTGCCCGGCCGCACGCCCGCCACGCAGCCGACGCGGCGGACTTGCCTGCGCCGCTGCGCGAGGAGATCTCGCGGCACCTGCAGCAGCAGGCGGACGCGGAGGCGGCCGCCACAAGCAAGAAGCGTGCGCGGCCGGGCGACGGCGTGCGCGCGTTTTCTTTTGTAGGCGCTCGACGAGGAGGCTGCACCGCCTGACGAGGCGCCAGAGAGGGAGATGCCGCCCGCGCCGCCGCCGACGCTAACGGCGGCACGCGCGGCGCCGTCCCCGGGCGGAGAGGAGGGCGGCGGCGGCGGCGGCGGCGGCGGGGCGGCCGAGGCGGGCGGGGCGGCCGACGCCGGCGGGCTGCGGAGCCGTCCGTTTACGCGGCGGGAGCTGCGCCGGTTCGAGGCCGAGAACGACGAGAGGCTGGCCGCGGTGGAGGACTTTGAGCTCTCCTGCCCCGGCCTCGGCTCGCTAGTCTGGCCCGGCGTGACCGACCTGCGCGGGCTCCCCGGCAAGCTCGACGGCGTCGTCAAGTTTGGGTCGCACGAGGTGCTCCTCTACCCGGACCTGCCAGAGGCGCTCAAGCCGCGCCCGGGCGAGGCTCTCAACAAGCGCTTCATCTACACCATGGAGAACGTCTGGGCGCGCGACAAGCGGACGGGCAGCTACCTCACCGACGCGCGCTCCGTCGCCGCCTTCCGCGCGCAGCTGCAGCGCAAGGCGGACAAGCTGGGGATCCGCATGCTCTCGTACAGCCACGAGCGCGGTCTGTGGCGGGTGGAGGTGGTGCCGAGCTGACGAGGGCACGCGCCCGGGGGGGGGGGGGGGGGGGGGCCAACGGGCCCAACCCCCGGGGGGTCCCGAACGGGCGTCTGCTAAATGCCCGGGGGGGAAACCCGGGGTCAAAAATGTCCAAAGAA